GCTGCGGCGCGGGATCCCTGCTCTGGAAGCGCGCTGCCGCCCCCTCCTCTGCCCACCCACTCGCCTTTAATTAGAAATGCCAGGAGAGCCATTTTTGGGGAGTTTTTGCCAGAAAGACTTTCCCAGTCCAAAGCAGGGGCGGAAGCTCAGATTGGCTGGGGTGGGGAGGAGGGCTCCCCGGGCTCGGGAAGGGGCTGGGGGAGTGGGGACCCCAGAGTGTGGGCACCGGCAGGAGCTGTGTCCCCGATGAGTGACTCAGACAGAGGGGCTGGGCGAGGGGGTGGGGGTGAGTGTACTGGGGGGTGAGCTTGTACTGGGGGGTGAGGTGTCTGTGGGGGGATTCGTGTCTGTGTGGGGGGATGCGTGGGGAGGAATGACTGGGGGATGAGTGTGCAGTGTGTGGGGTGGGAGAGGGAGAGGGACATGCAGGGGGGGCTCAGCCCTCCTCACCGGCACTGGGGTGTCCGTGCCCTGGCTGTGGGCCATGGTGCGTGCGGCCTTGCCCAGGTGACAGGCGGGGACCTGGGACCCAGGCCGTCCTCCACGGGGTTACCCAGGAAGGACGTCCCCGCACTGTTGCCAGGGAGGCTGGGAATCGCAGCTTCCGGAGCCCCAGGCCTTATATGGCGCGTTCTCGGCTGGCTCAGCTCTGCCGCTGCGGAAGGCTGGCTCCCTCCTCTCCCTCCCTCCTCCCGCTCCCTCCGCCCTCTCCCTCTCCAGCCTCTTGGAGCTTCTGACCAGGTTTCCCCCTGGCCTGGGGGTTCAGGGCCCAGCCCCCTGCAGTGGGCGGCAGGTCCTCCATCCCCTCCCTCCCCACCCACCCCTCCCCGCAGGCTTCCAGATTGGGGGGCACTTCTTGGGGAAATCTCAGGCCGCACCACAGCCTGGGATGGGCCAGCACCTGCCAGGCTGTCTCACACCCACACCTGTGCCAGGGGCCCCGCAGAGCCCAGGCCTGGGCGCAGGTCCCACACGCAGCGGGGAGGACCCCCAGGGCAGGGACGGGCCTGACCCCTGGGAGTGGGCACCCGGAGGCTCCCTGAAACCTTCAGCTCCCGGGGAGGAGGGTCTGAGTGGGGACGGGGGGCGGCTGTCAGGGTTCATCTGTGGCCGAACATCGCCGCTGCACTGGGCAGGGCAGGGTCAGCAGGGTGGGCGGCCAGCTGGACCCGGGAGGCAGAGCCCAGCACCAGCACCCTC